ATATGGGGTTATAAGGAGTTGGGCTACTACCTCATTGCCAATTGATTTTAGGGAGGAATCTCAACTTCCTTTATTTTCATCTTAATAAAATTACCACTATTAGTCAATGTTTAATTCTATTTTATTTTTTATGGTCGTCTTTAATTAAATTAATTATCTTCCTTATTTAAATTATATTAGCTTCTTCGTACGCACTTCCGCCCCTGCGAGAGGTGTATTTATTTATTTATTTTAATTTTAAAATTTATTTTAGAATTAAGAAAGATAATGAGTAGTTGTGTTCCATAAAATATGATTCATTATATGATTTTTCTTTTAATTTTAATTTTTTTAATATGAAAAAGTGTGAATTTACCATATTATCCTCATTTAATTAATAATTTTAATTCTTAATGTTTGCATTAACCAAGGGCATTTTCTGGTATTGGTTTTTTTTACCATTTTCTGGTATTTTGAATGTTTTACCATTCTCACGCATGTGGCAATTGGTTTTTTTTTTTTTTTTAATTTTTGTTTTTTTGTTTTTAGTATTAAAAAAAGATAACATGGGTAGTTATGTTCCATAAAAGGAGGACTTATTTTCAGATTTTTTTTTTAATTTTAATTTTGTTTTAATATGAAAAATGTGAATTTACTATATTATACTCATTTAATTAATAATATCAATTCCTAATGTTTGAATTAACCAAGGGCATGTTCTGGTATTTTGAATGTTTCACAATTATCTGCCTTTTGCTTTATATATATAGATATATTTACAAAGTTCAAAAATTAATATATTTTATTATTTTTATGTTTGCTTTTCTTAGTTCTACATTGCACCAAACACAGAATATCAGTAACGTTTATTCCAATTCATGCGAGTCCAATCCAAAGAAGTAGTTTAGACTAGTCCAATCCTGATCTTGTACAATGTGTTTTTCTTTGTTAATGGAGGAAGAATCAACGTTATTATCACTACTAGAAAACCTGATTATAAGCCACAAACAACTCATGACTTATATTCATGTTCGTCACAAACAACCCGTGGCTGAAGGGTGTTGACCATAAAGCATGTAATTATGGTAGATGCGGGTGTTGCCGCTAACTTTTTGCCACAATAAGGGGTGTCCATGGCCTATAAATGGTGGATCCCACCATGCCTAGCTTATCACCCTTACAAAAGTTTACATCTTTCAATTAAAATATTAATATTCTTTAAATCCCCACAATCATTACCAAATGTGCAGTGAAATAGAACTGCACATGTCCATGATGTGGAGTGAAATTAGAGGTATTAACAAGTCAAGAATCTCCAATTCAAACACAACCTGTTTATTAAATGGATAACACGACACAGCCCATATAACCCCATTTGTTAACCCCCATTTGTTAAATGAATTGGGTTGAATTGTTATTTAAATTAACCCGTTTAACTAATTTAATTTTATGACACTATACAGTAAGTTTCCATTTTTTGGGCTTCCACCACATATGAAAAAAAAAGTAATTTTCAGGTTTCTTTTTCTTTTGGTCGGAAACTTATTAGGTTTCCATCCTATTTTGCATCAGGAGTAAATTGGAGAAATTTTCAAACCCATACCACATTGCAGCAAACAAATTGGTTTAAAATTATGCAAAGAAGCTAACGAGATCTAACGCAATGAAAGAGGACCTTTACTTCGATCATAAAGGTCTCAGGTTTGAATCTCGACGGCATCACAGTTGTGTGTGTTTGTGAAATTCTCCCTCCCTTCTAGTTTAGACTATCGCTTGTATTAATATATATGCAAAGAAGTCCTCTCAGTTCTCCTGAAAATATACGTATAAAGCTGATTTTATTACCATATAAATCTCATGTTCTAACAATAATAGAAAAAATGTGCAGATCATGCAGAGCCATAAAACATTTCTGGTTCTGCATTTCCCCCTGTTACCTTCCCTCCAGCAATTTTTCAGGCCTCACGACATGGGTTCGAATGTCGAGATATTTGATGGAAGACATTGGGCTCCTATTAAAGCTCCATGAAAAGGACGGTTTTTACCGTTTGTGTTCCCCCTGGGGGTAACGTATGCACTTCTGTTATAAAACCATATATGCACGTCAACCATTAAATAAAATATGTTTTTTTGTCAATAAATAAATTTAAGAATGGCATGAGAGTAGTACTGCCAACGAATCCATGACGTTTACTGTCGGTACTCAAGGTAAACCAATATGTACTGTGAGAGGTAAATAATGTGTAGGACCAATTAAATTCCAGGAAACATGTAAAATTTCCAGATTTTTTTTTTAATACAAGGTGTATTGGGGGAGGAGAATTCGAACACAACTCTTAAACACTTGAGCTACAAGCCCCTTGTGAATTTCCATAAATTTTCAAGATTTCTCTTTTTCTATTCATACTATGTTACTTATCATGAATAGGTATTGAATTTATTTTAATTCTTGCTTTTCATGTGTTTACTAACATATTGATATTGAAATTATTTAATTGCCGACTTTTCATGTGTTTCACTAACACATAAGTAATAAATAGGGTTAAATACATTTTTGGTCACTAGATTTTACACGAAATTTCAATTTGGTCTTTGAGAAATAAATTTAGCCAAATTAGTCATTGTATTATCAAAAGTTTACAATTTATAGACGTGCAGTTAGTTTGTGTAATGTTGTTGAGTTAAATACCTTTTTCGTCAAGAAATTTCAATTTGGTCACTTAAAAAAAAAAAAAAATTGTAGCCAAAAGCCATGTAAATGCGAAACTCTATTTGAAACCTTTTTTTTGGGGGGTAAAATCTATGTATCAACAGTTATGAATTTGAATTTTGTGAATGTGGGACTATGATAATGGTTGGGATTATGATTGAAGCGTTTTTGAAAAGACCGATTTGCATTTTTGTCAAACTATTATTGAGATGTGAACATATTTTGTCTTGATATGATTCTTTTTTTTAGCCTTAATTGATTCTATACCAATCATAAATTTTTAGCCTACAAGCATCGTGTGCAAAGCATAGCATTTGCATGGATTTCGGCTTTTTTTTTTCCTTCAATGATCACATTGAAATTTTTTGCAAAACTTAGAGACCAAAAAGGTATTTAATTAAAAAAAAATAAAAAAAATCAGGAATTAGATTGATTAAAGGAGTATTTACTATTCATAATTTCTCCAATTCATGACTTCTCTCATTCCTAGTAAATAAACAAAATCTTTTTTTTTTCTCTGTGACTTGTGCAGTAGGGCAATTGAAGGAGGCTCAGGTCTATCATTTGATCAAGATTCCATCTAAGAAAAAGATCAACGTCTGCTCAAGTGTTGAGTTAGTCTGTTAGGTTTGTTGGCTAAATTAGTTTTGCTTTTGTGGCAGTCATAGCATGTGCCGATATAAATACTCAAGTGTACGAACAGTCATTATTATACAATAATAAAACTCTCATTCTACTTTAGTGTACGTCTTTGATAATGTAATAACATGAAGTCAAGGTAATAACCTTACCTGGTTATCTGTATTTGTATTGGTTCTTATGATTGATGGCCTTTGTGCTGGAATTATAAATGCAATCTATAGTCTTTATCTCAAAAAACTGAAGCCCAAGATATTAAGCACACATTTTCTAAGTTTTGAAACTTTTTTTTTCTTTATGTACTCAAACACGCAATAAAATTCGTTGTGCAAACGGTAGAAATGGAAAATCCATATCGAAAACCAAAAGCTAAAAAGAAATAAAAATCCTAAATAGAAAACAAATCACAGTAAACTCCTAAAGGGTTTCTGAAAATTATTAGTCTAAAACAAAACTAAGAATTATAGGACCACCGCTCCACATATTCCGGTCAACCCGAAAAAAATCATAGCGTCATATTGGCTAAACTCATAATCCTGCATTGGCTAAACTCGAACCCATTGTAATCAGCCATCTTCCCTTTTTAGAGGTCCAAACTATGTCGAAGGGAGCCATCTCCTTGTGTACGTAGGCCAAAATACGGTGACTATATCATGGCGACGACATCTTTCACGACGACTACTTCCATATCACAAAATAAACTAACAATCTTGAGGGAAAAGGGAGGGAAGGAGAAAAGAAGGGATGAAAGAAGAGGGAAGGAGGTGGGGAAGGAGGCCGCCAAACCCCAAATGGGGCGGTGGCTAAGACTTTTTTCCTTAGGGTTTTTTCAGAGAATACTTAAAGCGTTGTTTTCCCTAGGTTTGTGATTTTTTTTTTGGCAGAGAAAATTAATCATTGATTTACTCTCTGTTTTAGGTTTGTGATTTAAAGAATAAAAATGGCTAAAGAAATGTAAACCAAACGATCGAGATATATGCAATTAAACACTTTAGGGAGAGATGAGTAGTTGGTATCGATTGTGCCAATCTACGGTACAAACACATGTAAACTTTTTCATTTAAACCCCGAGTGTTTCTCGCATATCCATTTGAAAATGCTTTTGGAAAGCACTACCAGTTCTCTCCAGGAAATATTTTGTTAAGTGTACTTTTGAAACCCCAAAAACACTTATCTATTTAGCTCAACTGCTACAAATATACAATTATTTTATTGAAGCACTTTTGCAGTCGCAGAAAAAAGAAAATTGTTGAAGCACTTTTGATACTGTCAAAAGCACTTTTGACTCCTCCCAAACAAACCTAAAATCAAAAGGTGGTCTTGACTTAGAAGACTTGCTGGTCTTCCATCTAAATTCACAAACCTGCAATTACCTTCTCATTCCCCCACTGCAATCCCTCCACAACACAAACACATAAATTATATGAAAGCCAAAGTGTGGCTTGGATAAGGAAAACCATAATTATTTTACAAATCCATTGAGATAACAAATCAAACCATGAAAAGGCCACCATGAGGAAATAATCCTTACAATTTTTACCTTTTAATCAATAAAAGTCCCCAGTCAATGCTTTCTTACCTGGACAAATTAGAAAAGCACTTTCCCAAGCAACAAAAGCACAAATTGTAAAAACTCTACCTTAACAAGTCACGTATTTACGCTCATAAAGAGAAGTCAAATATTTCTCTTTATTTAAATTCCTTGTTCTAAACTTACTGGTTCTTTCCCTTGCTGAGCTTCACAGTTCCATATCTGTCCCACAAGTTTTCTCCTCCATTAAACTGCACGTGAAAGGAGCTGGAGCTCACATCCATATTAGAACTTGATGGTGATAGCCCTCCATCCATTAGTTGAAGCCCCATCCCATCCGGCTGTCGTTTCGAAACTTCCTGCTGGCCTTCATAACAAGAAAGTTGGCCATGGTACATGTTAGCTTTGGCATCTTGTTTGTGCTTCTTGTTACATTCTGCTGTCATTCTGGGAAAAACACTCATATTCTCCCATTTCTCTTTGCACTCTCCTACACTTCTTCTATAGCCCAAGCAACCCATTTTTGCAGCTATCTCCTCCCATAGGCCCTCCTTAAAACACCCACCGTCTTGAATTGTGAGTTCCAAGCTTGTCCTGATCAGCTTTATTAAACTTGCAACCTCATGTTCAGTCCATCTGTTAATAGTATCATAAGGAATTTGAAGGTTTGAAATGTCATCCTTGTCCTTGTCGTGGTTACTAATTCCTGGTCTTGAAAATGTACCTAGAGCCTCCATTATTGCAGCATCTCGGCTTTCAACCCATGCTCTCTCCTTAGCCCAAAATTCATGCACTTCTCGATCGAACTTGGCCGCCTGTTGCTTCCTCCATTCTTCTTCTTGAGCTATCCTCTCCTCCTCTCTATGTTCAATACTCTTTAACATCTTCTCCATCCAAGCCTCCTGGGTGTTTATTACTTTCCCAATCTGTGAATTCACAAAATCCTCCACCTTTGCTTTCCAGCTCTTCTTATTAATCGGCCTTGCACAACTTTGTTTCTCATTCTTGAGGCTCCCCATTGATTGATTCATCATAAAATAATCAATGGCTGAAATTGAAAGATCATCATCATTGTTCTCCGAGGATGAGGTCTGATCAAATTCAGTTGAGTTATTGGAGAAACTAAGGCTCTCACAACTGATGTGCTTTTGGTCTTGCACCACTTCTTGATTTTTAGGGTTAACAGTGTCATTTGGAGTAGTGTGATGATAAAGACGAGGGTTCAATCTACCATAAGTTGACGATTGATTGCTGGTTTGATCTCCATAAATTGCTTCGAGCTGACGAAAGAACCTGTAGTGCTTCCCATCTTGTCTCCCAGCTTTGCCTTCCTTTGTTTTCTTGTAGTACTTATACAAGTTCTCAAACTTCTCTTTGCATTTCTTCCCACTCCTCTGGTATCCATGTTCCTCACCCATTATCCTGCACATCAAGAAATTAAGAGAGTAGGAGAAGATATAGCTAGCAATAGAGAAAGGTGTTTTATTTAAAATTATATAGGTAAATCACATGTGCTTTCTTAGCAGAATTCCTTTAAATAGGACTACAAGTTATTGAGATTATTATATTCAGCTAGATTTTCCAAATTCAGTATTTCAGTTACTTTATGATTAAATTAATCAAAATCTTCCACCTTACAATGATGTCCTATTGAATGTGTGACCCTTTTTTTTGAAGCTAATCAGATTCCATTGCCCTAATTGAGCATGGATAGAAGGCCCCTCAACTAGAAAATTAAAAACAAAAAATTATTTATGATGGTGCAGAGAGTGGTCTTGGACCAGTCAATTTGCATACCAAAAACCAGAAAAGGATATGCAAAAGAACACCTGGGTCTCTTAGTTAACTGAATGGTTTGTCAGACTAATCTTGAAGCACTAAACTCAGAAATGTCAGTGTCTAATTAAAAGAATAACATGTAAGAGAAAGATAGAAAGAAGAAAACACTCCATTTTGTGTTAACAAAAACACTAGAGAAAAAAAAGACGCAAAATTGGAAGATATATAAACAATAAAAAATGAGTCTATACATATATATACCTAGAGACTTCGTCCCACAAGGGTCCTTTCTGATTAGTCTCCTTGAACTTGGAATCAAGACCAGATCTAATCTCAAGAAGGGTAAGAGTTTCTTGTCTTGGCCATCTGTAATTCATATTATTTCCTCCATCAGCAGCATTCATGCCAACATTAATATTATTATTCCATCCATGTCCATGCTCCAAATCTATCCCATACAATGCAGCAGCTGATGAAGTGGTGGCAGCAGCATTAGGAGGATGAGCTGCACCACAGCCGTTGATTATAGTAGAATAATGAGGAGGATGAAGATGATCAACCAAGCCACCAGCTGGAACAAGCATGGGCTGGTAATTAGGTTGAGCTGTGAGATTTCCATGTGCTGAAAATGGCTCTTGGAATTGTGAGGTCGTGCAAAACTGGGTTCTTGAGGCCATCAGCTGCCGGAGATCTGGAACTCCATACTCATCCATATCTACCACTCAAAGTTCGAGAGAGAGAGAGAGAGAGAGAGAATTTAGGAGTTGCTTTTTGATAGAGTGTTGGGATGAAAAAGGAAGGACCAAGTTAGAATGTGAGCTTAATTTTTTATTATTTCATTGGAGACAGGATCCGAGTCTAACGCAACTTTCGTCACTCTTGCATCACTGTCAACCTCTGTGTGGATGTGTAGAGAGAGAGAGAAAGATTGGAAAAAGCAGTATACTATACGTAATATAAGTGACAGAGAGGGAAGGCATGACACGAGGATGATATATAGAAGAAGCCTGTACGTAGAAAGAAACAGTATATCATCCGTGTGTGGTTATTTACCCTTTTCAGTTTTGACTGGCCATCACTCAATCTTCTAGCTTTCCACAGGCATCTATCTACCACCTTAGTGCTTGCGACGGCTAACCATGGCTCGCTTCTTGCTCCGACTGTGCTCAAGCGCCTAGCCTTCCTTGTTTTTTTTTTCCTTTCCATTACAAGCCACTGCTGCAAAAAGCTTGATTTGTTAGGAAATGGGTTAACAAGTTATTGTTCGAGTGATATTTCTTATCACTTAATTAAATTGTCTCGAACCTAACATTACGAGTGAAGGAAATGGGATCGAATTGGAAAATGGAAAGATTTGTACATGTGATACCTATCATTACCGTTTTGTGGAAAATCATGAAGTAAGAATATGCGAGATACTTACCTTATTACCATTCCAAGTAAGTCGAGTAATTTCATTAGCTACCATATTACACGTTTTAGGCATAAGAGCATCCACAATGGGCTCCCTAAACCACCTCTCCTTAGACAAATTTTAGGGAGGGATGATAAAAATACAACTCCAACCACGCTCCCTATCCACCTCCTAAAATAGGGAGTCCTCTAGGAGCTCCTAAATCTGAGGAGAAAGAAAGGACTCCTAGTGACTCCCTATAATTTAATGCTGCTTTATTTAATGAGTATTTCAAACTTCTATTTAATGCTAACCATTTTTTATTTTATTTCTTAATAGAGATGGACCAATCACAAAAGAGTTATAGCATTTATGACTCTCCAAATTATGGAGTATGGTTGGAGTTGAAATTTTTTAGAGAGCTCATAAAATAGCTTTCTTATATTCTTAGCCAAATTTTAGCTAAAAAATAGAGAGCATTATTGTGGATGCTCTAATATGACACTAAGTCATCATTCCCCTCGGCTTCACCCCTATCATCTTCACGCAAGCCAAAGACCACACCATGAGAATCACACTCAAGCATAATGGGAAAATCCCAACATTTCAAACGCTAATTTCAACGCACTAGGACCCTTGCTATGAAGAGTATCCCACAGCAGGGATGGAAGTCTTAGATTAATTAATAGTCTAAATGACACAAGCTAACGTCTTTAACATGGAATTAAATAATATCCTACGAGTCCATTTATATCGAGTGATTCCAAATCTAAGAATTCATATGACATTACGAGGTTAAATTGTAAAGTTACAACTACGTATATCAAGATTCAAATGACTCTTCCAAAGTCATTTTAAATCAATTCCACGTGTATTACTTATGGTTATTTCAAATACATATTCAATCGAATGTTTCTAGCTTTTTTTAAAATTAAAAAAAATAAAAAATTTGTCATTGTTATCGAATTCAAATTCTTTCTTTGAAATACCTTCATCTATACGGAGCCTTCTACTGATTAAAAGTATGCAGAGCTACCTTGCCATGTGAGGGTTGAGCACTCGCATATGGAATGGATAGGCCCCCAAGTCCTACCCCGGCAGACTTTCAAGTGAATAATTGAAGTGTGACTCCGCATTTGAACAAATCAAGCAAAAGTCATTTTTTAGGGCCAATGGATTCTTGTGAGCATTGGACATTTGTCTTTGCCTAAAAGGGATTGTAGGCCCCTTCTCTCACAGCTGGACATCACAGCTTATCATTTCTGCTTTTGTACGGACGTATTTGATGAACAGGGAGCCCTGATAGAATTAATATGATTCCGAAGGAAGAAAACAGTGGCCTCTTTTTAAAGTCATCATTGGATATATATATTTTCCTCATAAATCATATAATCAAAAGACAAAAGCAGAGATTTTTCCTTTTTGTTCCCCTATTTGGCCTCTCTTCTTGCCTTCCCACTGTTTTCCTTCCCTGCACAGTAATATTATTGTAGCTGGAAAATGCTATTTTCAGAGTTATATATTAGCTTTTACCAGGGTAAAGCATGACGTTTTGTATTCCTGCTAGATGGTTCTGACATAATTTGGTGACTTTCAGTTTACATTATTCATGGTGAGTGGTTACTTTTTTTTTTTTTCCTTCTTCTTCAAACCAAGAAATAAAATTATAACGAGGAAGGATCCCTGTATTCCTGCTACATACATGATAAGCTACATACATGATGAGCTTTAAATATAAGTATCATGTTTATCATGACCCATTGTTGGCATATTATTAGCGAACTTGTTAGCTTTCCGATAAATAGTTCCCTTCTAATGTCACCCCAACATTAGTCACCAAATAATGGTGACTGTTGCTACTTTTTTGTAATGTTTATTTGAGGGACACTTTTTAGGGTTCCTTACGAAATTTTTTTCAACGATCTAAACTGTCTATTTTTTAAGTATACATTCATAGATCTTCTTTGCAAAAAATTAGACAAATCGAAAACCATTTCGACATTTAATTGTGTCCTACAAAATCAATGAATATGATGCTTCAAGAAAGTACTAAATTTTCAATAATTGAATTGAGTGGTCAAATATATTCGAATGATTTCAATTTGTCATCAACTCTAGAAGCCCAAATTCAACTCATCTGGCGGAAGGAGATGGTAATGGTGGTGGGGGTTGGGGCTTAGGGTTTGAGATGAAGTGGGAGTCGGAAATAATTTGGCAATTGAGGGTTTTTGTTCCTTTGTTGTTGGGGGGGGGGGGGGGGGGGGGGAGGGAGCCTATTGCTCTTTTGTTTTTTTTTTAAAGCATGATGCTGCATGTGTTCAATTTTTTATTTTTTATTTAAAAACAACAAGAAGCATGCCTCAACAAAACAATGTAGTTTGTTTAAAAAAAAATTAGAAGCATCTTAAGCAAAACGACGTCGTTTTGCCAGGCGATTAAAAAAAAAAACCTGCGTAGCTTCTCTTCTTCTTCCCAGCGAATTCTCTTCCTCCTCCTCAAGCTTTTCATCAAACAGGTGGTGGGCAGCTCAAGAGGTCAAACCTCCAAAAAACTAGGACCTCCAAGCTTATTTCCATGGCTTTTAAGGGGTCGTTTGACCCCTATGTGGATATGCCCTGCCTATAAGGGTGTTCCTCAAATAAACTTATTTGAGGGATTTCTCAACTGAAGCTCTTTATCCCAATAAATATGTCTTATTTGATGAATTTGTAAAGCTTTGCATTAATCCCTTTATGTAGTTCATTAGTGACAAAAGACGCCAAGGTAGAGGTTAGGGTCGTTGTAATACTATGATTTAAAGGATATTAGAGCATCCACAATGATGCTCTTTATTTCTGAGCTAAAATTTAGCTAAAAATATAAGAAAATTATTTTAGGAGCTCTTTAAAAAATTTCAACTCCAACCATACTCCCTAATTTGGAGAGTCATAAATGCTATAATTCTTTTTTGATTGGTCCATCTCCATTAAAAAATAAAATAAAAATAATTAGCATTAAATAAAGGTTTGAAATATTCATTAAATAAAGTAGCATTAAATTATAGGGAATCACTAGGAGTCCTTTCTCTCTCCTCAGATTTAGGAGCTCCTAGAGGACTCCCTATTTTAGGAGGTGGATAAGGAGCGTGGTTGGAGTTGTATTTTTATGATTTCTCCCTAAAATTTGTCTAAGGAAGTGGTTTAGGGAGCCCATTGTGGATGCTCTTACTCGCCTAAAGGACTTAAAATGAGGACTTGTGAGGACCTCTTTAATAAAAGTCATTGGATTTGTCAAACGACACATGTAGTTAATAGTCTTAACTCTCAACCAGACTACTTTAGTTTACTCAAACAATATTTTTAATTATTCTAAGTCGCAACAAAAAAAGTAAAATAGGAATGTGCGTTCCTAACCATCTTCTCCCCTTCATCCCCTTCCTCTTTCCTCGTTCTCGTCGAACAAAACCATCTTCTCCCCTTCATTCCCTTCATCTCTCCTCTTCTGATCAAACAAAACCATACAAAACCATCTTCTCCCCCGTATCCTCTTTCTCTCTCCACTTTCTGGTCGAACAAGTCTGCTTTTCCTGGATTTCATCATAATCATTTTATATGTGTTAATTGCTTAAACATGTTTCCTTTTTTTATTTTTTTATTTTTAGGGTTAGAACAATTAAAATGATTGTTTAAGTAAAACAAGAAGAATAAAGGAGTGTTAAGACTACTAATATGTGTCGTCTGATTAATCCAATAAATTTTATTAAAGATGTCCTCACATGTTCCAATAAATTTTTAGGCCATTGAATGAGAATGATTGCTGATTAAAATATGTGAATCACCTTCAATTTATAAAATATAAATTCCCATATGTTGTGCCCACAACAACCCATACTTCAAACTAGTTGATTAAGCTTTTATAACCAATGTAAAACCCAAAAGAATTGATCATGCAACTTAAGGGCCGTTTGATAACAATTTCAGTTTATAGTTTTCATTTTTTATTTTGAAGAAATTGAAGACAGAAAACTTGTTTGGTAACCAATTTTATTCTGTTTAAAAAAAAAATTGAAATTGAAAAATGTTTAAAAGTTGTTTGGTAACTGATTTTAGTTGTCAACTTGAAATGGAATTGTTCTGTGGTCAAATTGTGAATTGAGATCATAGAATGAAAGTGCATGTTATAGAGAGTTCGTTATTTTTTGGTGAATTTTTTGAGTTAAGATAATTTTTTGGGTGAATTTTGGATTTGGAGGTACTCAAGCTTGGAATGGGTTCGCGGACGAACTCAAATACCGAGTTTCAGTAACTGTAGTTCAATGCATGTGTAGTGATGTAAAATTAG